CTTACATCTGCATAACTCCAGTCTCTACTTCCACTGTCACAGGCTTGCCTTCCCTCTATGAGTCTCCGTCTCTGTGTCTCTTCTCTTCTTCTTTTAAGGACACCAGTCATACTGGGTTAAGGGCCCACCCTACTCCAGTATGACCTCATATTAACCAATTACAACTGCAATGACCCTATTTCTAAATAAGGTCTCATTCTGAGGTTCCAGGAAGTACATGAATTTTAGGGAGACATTATCCGACCCAGTAAACCCACCAAATCTGCCTTCATTCTTCTATTGCCACCTTTGTATATAGTGCTGGTCCTCAACCTCAAGCCAAGAAGCTGAGAACCACCCTTCATTCCCACCTCCCTTTAAATTCATATCCCAGTTATCATCAAGCCTGATCATTTTCCACTTCTAATATTTCTAGACTCTGCTACTCCTGTTTATCCCTAATCCCTGAATCACTCTCTAGCACCTCTTGCTTGGGCTACAACAGTCTGTCCAGTACTCCTCAAATCCAATCTTCTCCAAGCTACAAGAGTATATATAGATATATACATACAGCTTCGTGGCATGTTAGGAAGATGTACAGTTGCTTTTTTTTGTTTGTTTTTCTAATTTTTCACTACCGTGAAAAGTTCTGCTGCTTTACTGCAATGAGCATAATTATGATAGACATCCTTCTTCAGGGATACAGAAACTGAGAGGCAGAGTGGTTTGTGTGCAAGCCCTGTCCTTTGTAACATCTTCTGACTTGATAGATTCTTTACAAACCTTCAGAATGCAACAAAATCCATTATATCTATAATCTAGCTTTTTATAGATTTTATTAGATTTGGGAAGGACAGACAAGAGGGGCTTATTTCAGTGTTTTGAGATTTAATATTATACCTGGCTCCAGAAGCCCCATGATAGAAGTACTTATTCTCATTTTTTAAATAAACAAAAATAATAAATGAATGTAATTGCATGAGTTATAAGCCATCCTTGTTTACACACACACACACACATACACACTGATTTTAAGAATAGTGTTTTCTTCTGAGACGTATTAACCCAGCCCATAAAGATTAGTGTAGAAATAAATCACTTCATAGTCATTTGATATAAGCATGTTTGGGAAGACAGCTTAACTCCTTGCTGTCTTCCACGAATTTATTCCTGAAACTATCACACTGAACCTCAGTTTCTTCCTTTCCCTCACCCAAAAAGTGAAAACTTACAGTTAACCATGCTTATTTCCACACTCCCAAAGGGGATTCTTTTTCATCAGCACAGTAGATTTTAGGGCTTAGCAGGAAATAGGGGCTATGAGGAGGCGGAATCCAGGAGATAGAGGAAAGCATTTAGCTCCATTTATATTGTCTATAAACGCTTCTGCTGTTGCTCCCCCAAACAAGTGTTCAGGCTGTGTTGGCTCCAGACTACACAGTCTTAAAGTATTTCTATCCCCTTGGCCCACTTTCCAGTCTGAGAAATCCTATTTTAACTGATCCAGGATCCTAGGTGAGATTCCTTCCTCCTATTCAGGAATATGTACAAATGTGAATTGCTTTATTCTTATATAGACAGCTCTGAACTTCTTTTCCAACCAAGCACCCAACTCTTGGACACCATCACTTTTTAAGAATAGGCGTTATTGGAGAACACATATCTACTCTGATTTATAAAGTCCGTAGCATGCTTTATACCTGAACAGATGCATAAAACTGCTATTTGTCTTTGAGAGCATGAATGAAAAATATATCCCACTTGAGTATAAAGTAGACTACCTATTTGATTTCTCAAAGTCAATTGTACTTCCAATAAAAAGAAAAATAATAATAACCACTTTGGTTTTCTGGGTATGTTCAAGTATTCTCTTTATGTAATGTCACTAACTGATAATGACTTATAAAAAGTACATTGATCCTATTAATATAAAAATTACTAAGACCAACAGGATTCAGAGAGCATGTACTAACAGAAGTTTTAAAACAGTAAGATAGGAGCCCTGGATTTATCCCTAATACATGATTTTTGCACATGTCAATCACTTAAACTTGGGCCTTAGATCTCTATATCTAATAAAATATGTTTAATTAGTACTTAGAAGAATTATGTGGCATCATAATTACGGATGCTTATTTTATCATAGGATTTATAGGGTTTTTCTGATATTCAGAAAGGAATTTTTTTTTCTAACTCAATTAAAATCTTGTGTTGAAGGAATGGAAAACCACTGAATTTACTATCAAGCCATTCAGGTCTGAGTCTCATCAACATCCCAAAATACGATTTTCAAATTGCTTTATTGCCCATTCTCAATGGAGACTGCAGGAAATTTAGTCTTAATTAAGCCTGATTTACTCTCATTTAGCATTAAAAAAAAAGATACTGGGGGAAGGGATGAATAGGCAGAGAACAGAGGATTTTTAGGGCAGTGAAAATACTCCCTATGATAGATGAATACATGTCATTATGTGTTTGTCCAAAGCCATATAATGTACAACAACAAGAGTGAACCCTAAGATAAACTACGGACTTTGGGTGATTATGATTTGTCAATGTAGGTTCATCTATTGTAGCAAACATACCAGTCTGGTGAGTGAGGGAGGCTATGCGTGTGTAGGGGTAGGGGGTATTTGAGAAATCTGTACCTTCCTTTCAATTTTGCTGTGAATCTAAAACTGCTCCAAAAAAACCTGTCTTTAGAAATGTTACACTTTTTTTGCAAATTTGTTTGCTATATCTGAGCTCTAAATTTGAAAGGAAGCAAAGTGTTTCCTGTCCAACCATCTCTCTATGTATATATCAAATCATATATGATCTAGTAAGAAACATTTATTTCTCCAGAATTTTCTGCATTTTGTAAATATGTAACTTCTACATAAAATTCACTCTATACTGCTCTTAAAAAGTTAGACATACGTTTATCATACAACCCAGCAATTGCACTGCTAAATATCTATCCAAGAGAAATGAAAACATGTACTCACAAAAACTTGCATGTGAATGTTCTTAGCATCATGATTCACAATAGCCTCAAGCTGAAAACAACCCAAATGTCCATCCACTGGCGAATGGATAGACAAAATGTGGTATATCCATACAATGGAAAACTTCAACAATAAAGAGGAATGAAATACTGATACACGCTACAATATAGATGAATCTCAAAAACAGTATGTTAAGTGAAAAAAGCTATAAACAAAAGATCCCACATTTTATGATTTCATTTACATAAAATGTCCAGAGAAGGCAAATCTATAGATACTGAAAGAAGATTAGTGGTTGCCTGAAGCTGAGCAGAGAGTAATTATAAATGGGCATGAGGGATCTTATTGGGGTGATGAAAATGTTCTAAAACTGAATTATGGTGATGGTTTTACAACTTGGCAAAATTTCTTTAAAAATCATTGAAAGGGGTAAATTTCTAAAAATTTAAACTTCTAGTTTAAAATTGACTAAAGAGGAGAGAAAATTCTTTAACAAAGAATGAAATTTGACACAATTTTAAATATCCTGCATAAGGTATTCCATTAGTCTTTGATATTTTGTTGAAGAAAGTTGTGGTAAAGATAAAACTAAAAAGTCAATTACTAAAAACTTTTTGCAAACTTTTTTCTAATATATACTTTGCTTCAAGATTAAATCATTTGATCTTCCAAAACAGTTTTAGAAAATGAACTCCCTTAACATATTGTCAGCAGAGGGTTATTGACCAGCACCTGACATACTAACAGGAAAACAAGGTTTTCAAATTGCTGGTCTAACTAACCTTGATCCAGAACCTACGCCATTACAGCACTTCCTGTGAGATTTATGGCCATCAGGTCTCATTTTAACAATCCAAATTCTGAGCTTTCTGAATATTAAATCCCAGAAGGAATTTTTTTATGTGTAGCAATGTCAATAAGAAGAAAGGCATCTTGTGAAGAGATAAAGTGGACAGATGGATTTTGAATCTACATGTACACCAAGAGAAATGCAATACTCAACAGTAGTTCTAATCCATACTTTTTCAGTATCCAAACCATTAATATGAGCGTTTTAGTATTTAGTTTTTCTAGTTGAATGTTTAAGTGGTCATCGGCATCGAATCTCCATTTTACAGTCCTGCACAGACTCTAATAATTTCACCTGTCGTTTTTTTTTGGTTTCTGTTTTCTTAGTGTTTCCTGTGTGCCCCACTTGTACCAAGCGCTCTTCCAAAGAAACCGTGTTCGGATGTGTTCCCTGGGATGAGCTCTACGAAGATGAAACTGGCCCGTTCATCCCAGTCTCACTCGTCAGGGGCTGCCAGTCAGGACAGCTGGTAAATTGGGGTCATCTCCCCATGAAGGCAACGAGTTGCTATGGCATCAGCAGTCAGGACCCACGCCCTCCATCTCCTGAGCCCCTGCGACCACACTGCACTCCCGTCCCTCCCTGGCTGCCGGCCGGTGTCCTAGGCTCAGTGAAACCCAGTAGTTGCAGAGAACTCTTGATTTGACCCGATCTAATCATTCCCATGTTTTATCAAATAATGGATGGAGACTGGTGAGATGAGGTGACTGGGCTAAAGCCACACAGCTCGACGCGGGCAGAGCCGGCGAGAACACTGGTCTCTGCTGACCCGGCGGCCGCGAGCGGCTGCCTGGGGCTGGGAACGCGCAGCCCATGGGAAACGACGTGGCATTGCCCGTGCGAGAGGCGAAGGCTCAGCAACTTATGAGAGGATATCACCAATGTGCAGCTTCAGGGCACACTGGGCAAAAAGAGGTGACCAGACCTCCCTGGTTACGCCTGTTGGCCTGAGCGTCCCCTTCCACTCCGCAAGTACCTCTGCATGTTAAATGATGTGGTCGCTCTGGCCAAAGAGGCGTCCACTTTGAATTCCCCCCATGCTCGTGCGGACTGGCCGGAAAATAGGAAAGTTGCTGTAACCACATCTTCGCTCTCTCAGTCTCCCCTGACTGCCCAAGTCCTTTCCCTCCATCTTCGCTCCAGAGACCCCCACCACTTCGGACTCCCCTTCACCACGTACGTACCAGCCGCGCGCAGAGGTGCTCGCCGAGCCTGGGCTGGGTCCCGGTGCCCGGGCTCGCCCGGCCTCTACGTGGCCGCGAACTGCGACGCGGGCTCTAGTTCGCTGCCGCCTGTACCGTCCACGACGGAGCGACCGCGTCTGAGCTGCTGGGCTGGGGCGCAGCCAGGAAGTGGCAGCTACTCCGGGGGCGGAGAGAGCGGCTGCCGGGACCCGCCCCCGAGCGTGCGGGGCCCCTCCCCCCTCCCCCCACCCGGGTCTTGCTCTCTGTGGAGCCACTCCCGCCAAGGGGCTCTCGGGGCCGGCGCGACGGTGGTTCTTGTCTTTTGGCTCCCTGGGCAGCGTTCTTTTTCCTGCGTGCGCGTTAACAATTAATCATCAGAGATCATCACAGAACCCATGCCCTCCTCGCCTACCACTCTCAGTTCCCCTCGGGGAGGACTAAGGTTCTACTAAGAAGTTACCTGATGTGACTGAGGGAATTTCGCGTCCCTCCCTGCTCCCGGAGGCTTCCTCTGCAGACCCTCTGACCCATTTCTGCGCGCCCCCGAGCGTTTGTGCTCCAAGTGTCCTAAGGTTGCACTTTACTCGTGGCTCCTTGGAGAAGGTAAGAATGTGCATGGTTTTCCTATCTGCACCCGGAATGTGGGTATTCGTGGTTTTTTTAACGCATCATTTTAACAGATTGAGAAGCCATGTGCAATGTAGACAACTTTTGGACAAAGAAAAGCAGAAATCAACGTCTATCGAGTTTCACTTCAAGGTTCTCACTAAGAAAAATGAAGTCCTTACTATTAAGGTCTCATTGTGTCTTTTAGAAAGCATAATAGAGAGATGATGATACTGTTCTTAAAATTAAGGTGCTCTTCTCTGCTTCCTGAGAAGGTGGTTTCTCCTCACTGAAGTCCTGAGATCCCCTCTGGTTTCCTGAAAGACATTATTAGTGTCCAAAATCTGCTTAACACCAATATGTTCACAGATACTGTGCTCTGGCTTCCTACCCAAGTCTATAACACCTGCCATTTCCCTACTGACTACTTCCAATGTTTTCATAGGCTATGTGATATAGAAAAATGTTTTATTTAATGTATCTGCCAGTGGTGCTACCCTTAGGCTCTTTAAATTATTTAATATTCCTACCCCCACAATGTGGTAATAACACCTCTGTTTTCAGATAAATAAAGTGAGGCTCAGCAAGGTTAAATAATTTGAATAAAGTGAAATCGCTAGGAAGACTTCAAGTCAGTTTCTGAGCTCAAGTCTTCCTGCCTTTAAGGTTGATATTCTTTAAATTATACCTTGTTAGTAAAACTTATGATTTTTCTAAATGCCGACACTGGTACACTTAGTTTTATAAAAACATAGTTATTTGTATGGTCATACAAATAGTAATTAAAGAGATTGAGAGTTATTTATATCTTGAGTGTAATTTCAAGTGTATAATAAAATATATTATTATTATTTAAGGCAAATTATTCTAAAGCCTATTTATTTTAGAGAGCCTGTGTTAGAGATGCTAAAATGTTTGGATTTATGAGTTACAGTGCAATGATTGGATTTTTATAATTCTGAAACTGTACTCCTTATACTCACAAAATTTGTCTTGTAAAACCTGTATTTTGGGACAGGTTTGATAAAACTGTTAGCCCTCGCTGATGCACTTTAAAGTTACGTATTTGAAATCATCTGAACCACTTGAATGTTCGCTCCATGAAAGCTGTATCTTTGGTAGCTAGAATAGTACCTGTACAAAATAGCTGCTTAGTAAGCAGTTTTTAAAGGAATAAATAGAACCTCATTTTCTTCAGTTAAGACAAAATAATGACTTAAGAAAACACTACTTTTAGTTTGCTTTTGTCTTTTATAGTAGATTGAAGATTTTTGATAGCTTCTCATTTCTACTATGAAAGTAAGGAAGATGAAGGAATCAGGTAGAGCCTGAAGGTTTGTAGTAGCTGCTGTTGGGAATGGTAGCAAAAAACCTGACTATAAGTACAAAAAAAAAATCTTCTTTTGAGTCAGGAATTGGTGATAGCAGTAGTTCCACACAGCTGTGAATTTGTGTAAAATATATGACTGTAAATGCAGAAAGTTTCACTAATCCCACTTGGGGATTTTGCCAAGTGATTTGATGGAAAGGCAAGGAGAAAGCTTGGATGCTATTTTTAAGAGAATGGTTGAAGGACAGAGCTGTGAGGTTCACTTAATACTACATGGGAAAATAAGTGAAGACATAAAAGGGGAGAGAAAAAGCAGGCAAAGAAGTACAAATCTCACTCGAATAAGAGAGATGGCAAAATAAGTTGTAGTCAGGAGGGGGGATAGTTTTCTTGAAGGATTTAGTAGCAGAATAATGGCAGGGTTATGGAAGAGCTGTGGCTGGGGTTAGCTGTTCTCCTTAGAATGAAGATCAAGCAGTTGGAGACTAAGGTATTGGAGAGGCTATCCACGTGGACATTGAAGCCACCAATGGTGATGCCATGGGGTGGAGAAGGAATGAGTCAGACACCAAAGGCTTTCATGACTGTGGTGGAATGATCAGGAACTGAGTGGATGACTGTACAGAATTGGGACAGAAGGTACATATCCAGGGAACAAGAGCCTAAATGGATCAAGGGCTGGTATAAGAGGGGGTGCACGGTTCAAAAGCAATACTGGGGAGCTACAAGGATGCCAGCGCTGGCTCTCATGGTCCTAGGGTGTGAGATAATGAGCAGTCTACGTTGGAGGGAGATCCAGAGGAAACTATTCTCAGAAGAAAGCTGATTTTTACCTAAAGCAAGACAATGGAGGAAGCATTGTGTGAATAGGTTATGAAGGTGGAGGGATTTTTTCAATATTGAACAAGGATTCCACAAGGTCAGAAAGGATGGATTTTAGGAGGTAAGGCCAGCCCTGTGCTTGTCTTAATGTTCTGCTGTCCCTGCCTTGAAATTCTTAATAATTTTTAAACAAGTGACCACACATGTGCATTTTGCATTGGTCCCCACAAATTATGTAGCCAGTCCTGTTTAGAAGAAGTGGAGAAATGGGAGTGTAGGTGAAGCAAGAAGTAGCACCAACCTTCTGAGGAATAAATTATGGGAGAGATTAAATGCAGGAGGTTGTGTTTTGAGGAAAGACCAAGAATGGTGGGAGAAGGGGTGTGGCTGCAAGGTTCCAATAACATCTAGGTTCCCTCTCTTTAGGGCAGGCTAGCTGAGACCTGGGTGGGAGAGGCAGTCAGCAGTCCGCATCAGCCTCTTCCAGGTCTGTGTAGTGTATTAGTTTGCTACGGTTTGCTGTAACAAATTACCACAGATTTTGTGATTTGAGCCAGCATAATTTTATTCTCTCACCGTTCTGGAAACCAGAAGTTCGGAATCAAGGTGTTGGCAGAGCAGTGCCCCCTCTGAAGGCCTTAGGGGAGGATCCTATTTTGCCTCTTTAGCTTTTGGTGGCTATAGGTAATCTTTGGTATTTCTTGGTTTGTGACTGCATAACTCCAATCTTTGCCTTCATCTTCACAGATCCTCTGTGTTTCTTCCCTACTGTCTGTATTCTCCTCTCCTAACAAGGACACTTTTTGGATCAGGGTCCACCCAGGTTAATCCAGGATGATCTCATCGGGAGCTCCTTACCTTAATAACATCCTCAGAGACCCTTTTCCAAGTAAGGTTACATTCACAGGTACTGGGGTTAGGACTTGGACATACCTTTTGAATGCTGGTCTGAGACCAGCATTCAGTCCACTAGAGCGAGGTTGGCTGAGGCCACAGGAAGAGCCAGGCTGGATGACACTGGCATCTGATAACTTTTCAGGTCTGTTTGGCAAACCAAGGTATTTATAATAATATGAAGTGTACCAGTGTTTCTAAAGCTTTCCAGCTGTGAAATTTAATACATACAAAATCTAGAAGATTAACACTGCCCAGAGACACTTTATATCCCTAGAGGTAGCTATCTGTCCTTGGGGACAAAATGAGACTGGGGAGAGAAGTCGTGTACCTTGGATCGTGCCAAGTCTGGCTATAGGGAATTGAGGAAATGAGATTCTCCACTCCTTCTTTTCAGCCACTCTCCATTCCAGAGGACACATGTGCTTCCCTGATACAAGAGGATAGCTTATGGGATGACTGCATTTCATCCCTCTCCATAAATATGAGCTTTAGAAGGACCGGAGGAGTGACCTTGTGCCTCTGTGGCAGAGACCCAGCTAGCTTCCCAAGCCATGCCTTGTAGAGGACAATCTTAACCCTCTGGGTGGGGGTGGGGAGAGGAGGAAATGTTGAAACTGTGTTACTGTGCTAACTGTGCTGTTAACTTTATTCTCCTCCTCCAGCTGGCAGGCGCTCTGAGAGTTAGCTGAGTAGCTGGAGCCAAATGGAGCTCTCCTTAAAAGGCATCACACTCATTGGGCCTTGCTCCCTTCTGCTCATGACAGAACAGGAACCATAAATTCCATCCATTATTTTCTAAGTGTTGCCAGTGAGAAGATCCTAGATTGTGGCAGTGGGGCAGCAGCACAGCTACACTGAAGTTTGGAGCCCATAAGAGCAACATCCCTCTTTGGGTGGCCTCTAAGGAAGTTGCCCTGAGATCAAGCTTGGGTAATATACTGGCAGATGACAGAAGGGAGTGGAGCCTGAGCTGCCTGCTGTTGACCCTGCTCCTGTCGTGTGACAGAAATGATGCCACAGACCCACATCCACCAAGGGAGAGGTTGGGCATTGAAAAGAATGGGGCACAATTGGCTTTCAGGAGATCAGAGGCTGTAGCGTGAGAGGCAGAGGAAAAGGAAGAGACTGCTTTCCTTTTAGTATTTAAAGTAGAAATTTCCTAAGAAAGTATTCCAAATTATCATTGTACTCACACATCTCTCCTGTTCCTGGTCAATGGGGCATCCCTTTGCAGAGTATCAGGGTATATGAAAAGAACACTGAGAATCTTGGGTTCTAATCCCAAGTGGCAATGCCACTGATGGTGTAAAATTTCAGTAAAGGCAGTTTTCTCTGAAGGGAAGGTTAGGACAAAAGGATTGCCCTGCTCTAAAATTCTCTTAAGTTTCTGAATTTGCTTCCTTATTAAATTCAAACTCCTCAGCCCAACGTTTAGAACACTTTACCCACCCATCTCTATCTCATTTCTGTTCTTATCATTTTCCAGTACAAATCCTGTTTTCCAGATAAGCTAATCCACTTGCCACTCCTTGTGACTTTCTCATTCCAACATTCATAACTGGTGCAGGAGGATGTGTTTTTTACTATCTTCCACTCTTAAGCAGTGTCACTTAATTTCTTCAAACTCCTGTTCACAAATAATCTACTGATGGAGATCTACTGATGAATTTTTTTCCACCCCTGATCAATTCATTCAAACATGTGCCAAGTTACTATCTAAATTTTATAGCCTTTCTTCCATGTGTTTGAGGAGTACAGCAATTTTAAATTAAAATATTATTCTCTTTAGTTTTTGCCACATCCTTAAAGCCTTTTCATGTGTATTAATTCCTCCTAATTATACTGTATGTTTCTTAGCATGAAGCTCTTATATTCCATAATAGTACTTTCTGATTTCTTCCAATAAATGAGACAATTCTGAATGATGTATGATTAGTTTTAAAAATTG